TCCCAAAACTTGTGCTCTTAATAATTTTATTTTAATGATTAAATGATTTAATGATTTAATCATAATATTTTACATTAGTTTTAAAGGCTGTTCAATTGCCATAGCAACTCTCTATGGCCAAGGAGCATTTAATCACACAGTGGTTATATTTATATCTCACATATATTATTTTAATGCTCACAACTTTTGCCTTCCCATTTTATAGATGTGAAAACCGAGGCATAGAAAGGATACATCTAAGCTCATAGAGCTAATGAAGAGTAAAACTGGGATTCCAACCAAGAAAGTCTGACTCTAGAGTCTTTATTCAAAATCGCTGTATATACTGTTCTGCTCTCAGCTATGGAAAAAGGAGGGGAATGGCAAAGATAGTCATCCGGTCAGTCAGTTTCTCACACAAAGCAGATGGTTGCTCTGATTAATTCTCACTTTTCCCTTGGGATGCTCGTCTTTGGGTCTGAACTGCTTTTGAGGCAGCACAACCCTAGAGGTGAGCATTCCTTTTTTCAGGGATCATCTTGGACACCAGTCCGGCAAGTGGGGAAGGGAGCTGTCGTAGTCAGAGACACTGTAAAGCAGAGGAAACCAAATGACACAGGCAACCACGAGTGGGTTTTATGATAGTGGGTTCTGGGCCCTCTAGAACCTTCTTCGTCCTGTTCTTGCTAAATACTCATCCTTCTTAAACAGCTTTTGACAGCATGACAGAGCTGGGAAAGGCTGAAGTGAGGGTGCATGGTTCTCTGATTTTCTACTTAGGCAAAATAGAAATGATAGTTCTAGTCTGTCATTTTGTATTACCTGTGCCTCTTTGTTCCTGTTAGCATGGATAATTAAGAGCTAAGGATAAACTCTCTTTTTAATTAGAACGCTTCTTTTCCACTGAAGTATGATATCCATAGCTCCTTCCTCCCCTCTGCAAATGATATAAACAAGTACAGGAAAATGACCCTACCCCATGTATTAAAGAAGCAAACATCTGAACTATCCGCATTATTTAGTGAGAGGATTTTTTTTTTCTGTATCAGACGTTGATCATAATGATCAAAATAATCCTTGGCACTTTCTCTAAGCTTGCTCATTATCTTTCAATATGTTCAACAGAATTATTAAATCTAAAATAATATGGTACACCTGGTTGAGATGACTGTGAGAGATTTGGCTTCCTGTCTCTTCATTAAGGATGAATTCAGCCCAAGGGTGTACTGTGAACTTGGCAAATAGCATTATAATAGTGAGAGAATATTGCCTATTGGATAGCAGGAGTTGATGATTAAATTTAAGTGTGTACTGTCCACATAAAACAAATAATGCTCTTTTTTTCTTACTTTTACTGTGAACATTCATCACTGGTACTGAAGATGCGCAGTTGCTAATTATTGTGTTTTTAACTTGTAATATACTGTAAATTTTGTATAATACTACTGTGACCTTATACAGAACAGAAAAGATGACAGGAGGCCTATAATTATTGTATGGGGAAGAAATGCCTATAATTATCTACTATTTTTAGGACCAGCGTGCATGGCCTCTTAATTTACATAAGCTTTAGACATTCACACATTTTCTGTCTTTGCTTGCGGATGATAAATTTTGCTCAAATGAAATCAGAAGACATACTGTTAGATGAAGAGTTAGCCAACTGGGAGCTTGATTACAATGAACAACACAAGCTTTGGTGCCAGCTAAAAAAGGGAGCATTTATTTGGATGGGACTTGTTTAAGGCAAGATTCAAAACATTAAAACAAAAACCACACCATATTATTATATTGGGGCCTGATAACGTGTGATTATTTTTTTTAGAGAATCGGTTAAATTATCTTGTGGAAAAGCATTAACCTAACAAAGAAAAAACCTCTAGGATATTTATCACATCTAGGGTGATTATGACAGCATGTTCTTATTAGAGATGAATATTTTGTGCTCATTAAGGTTACCCCCTTGAGTGCTCAAGGATGCAAAGTGCATTGCAGTGAAGTACTATAGTTCTATTGTTTTGTGTGCACTTGCTGTTGGCTGGAGCTGGGTGCTCTCTCCAAGTTAAGGGGCCTCCCTAAAAGGTCTAGTCCTGGCAGGGTCTTTATCGGAGCCATGGGGCAAATGGAAGCGACTGGGAGGTTTTCAATTCAAACACTCCAGGGATATATCTGCAAGAATCGAGAGTGATATCAAGAACCCTCTGGTCTCCTAGTGTGAGATAGCAGGTGGGAAAAGTGGATGCACTTCGTCCTTGAGGAGTCTCACAGTGAGCCCCACTTGAAGGAAATTCAATACATAAGATCCCAAGCTGAAACTATAGGCAAACTCAAACTCAAACTCCCCACTTTATAAAGGGATTTTTCACTATAAAAATAATTAAAAATGACTTCCCCCAAAGTAGCAAGTTTTCCTGAAGCACATATTATGACTGCTTTTGTTTTATTTGTTTTTTAGAAAATGGTTATTACTTTTATTAGCTTACTGAGAATTTCATGTATGCAATTACAATTTAAAAGATTGCATACAACTATCGAAAAACGTCCTAAGAAAGATATAACTTCACCGGAACCCCTCCCTCTCCCTCATATTTTTAAATCTAAGCTATGGCAGAAAAGCAAATTTAAAGTCTTGGTTTTTTGGTTTATTGAGATTTTTTTAATGACCATGTAATAGATAATTTTAAATGATGAGGCATTGGCAAGATGTTTAGATATGCATCATAACCAGGGCCTCAGAGGTTGTAAATACCTGGGCTAGTAAGTCTATAATTTTTCAATACTTATCTTTAAAAAATAAGAATGCTTAAAAAAAACATAATCAAAGATGCGGAGAAAAGGGAACCCTCATACATTGTTGGTGGGATTGCAAATTGCTACAGCGCTATGGCAAACGGTATGAAGGCTTCTCAAAAAATTAAAAATAGATATACCTTTTGACCCAGCAATTGCACTTCTGGGTATTTTTCCAAAGAAAACCAAAACAATAATTTGTAAAGATCTGTGCACTCCAGTATTCATAGCAGCACAATTTACAATAGCCAAGATATGGAAGTAACCCAAATGCCCATCAACAGACGATTGGATAAAGAAATTATGGTTCATATATACAATGGAATATTACTCAACCATTAAAAAAAATGAAATCTTACCATTTGCAATGACATGGATGGACCTAGAGGTTATTATGCTAAGTGAAATAAGTCAGACAGAGAAAGATAAATACCATATGATTTCACTTATATGTGGAATCTAAGGAACAAAAAACAAACTAATCAAAACAGACACAAATATAGTGGACAATATGGTGACGGACAGAGGGGAAGGGGGTTGGGGGACTGGGAGAATGGGGTGAAGGGTTAAAGAAGTACAAATTAGTAGTTGATAATTGGGCACAGGGAGCATGGAAGAGGGAATGAAGTTAGCATTAATGTAATGGCTAAGTGGAGGGCCAGGGGAGGGAGGGAGCAATGGGGGGGATCATTTTATGAACAATATAGATGTCTAACCAATGTACTGTATACTTGAAACTAATTTAAATAAATAAATTTATTTTAAAAAAGCAATCACAATACTACCATTACACCTAAAAATTTTTACAGTTCCTTACTAGAAGTAAATATATGTTGTCTGAAAGAATGAATGAGTGACGAAGCCTTGGGGGAGGTGATCATCCACAATGTGGTCTGGTAGACAGTAAACATTCATCTGGACTCAGTCAGACTTGGGCTAAAATCAGAAAGCTTCTACTTTTTGTTTTGGTCAAAATGCCCTCAGCTTCTGGTCTATAAAATAGCACCTGCCTTAGCTCTCTCACAGGTTATTGTCAGGATTAGCAATCCAATAGGGGGCTGTGGTTAATTAAGAGCAAGGACTTCGTAGCCAAACAGAGATCAGTACTCAGGGTCCCCACTATTTACCCTCTCTGAGTCTATAAAGTCATCTGTAAAATAACAATACCAATAACTGCCTTTCAGGGCCCTGGTAAGAATCAATGTTTGTTAAGTAAACCTTCAGTAAAAGGATTGTGTTATTTTTGTGTGAGACTGCTTTGGTAAATTAGAATACTATGCAAATTTATTATTATTAAAAGTAATGTTTTCCATGTCTTTTATATTCTCTGTCTTTGAAACTGTCTTCCTCTTCAAGGAGCTTTAGCAGTGATTAAAAAGATGGAGTTGTTTTAGTGCTCACCAAATGAGGCTCCTCAGTGTCAGGAGGCCAGTCTGGTTTGACTTGCTTTCCTGGCTCTGGCCTGGCTGAGTGCTCTGACTAGAGGAAAGGCCCTGGATAAAAGCCGTCCTGACAGCGAGAACATTAACACCCACTCTTGCGCCAGGAGGAAGATGTTAATATCTCTAGCTGGATTCCCAGCAGCAGAGATATTTAACACCTTCCTAGGATCCAGAAACCAGGCACTCTCTCTTTAAACCTATTTTGGCAGATAAAACGGGGAGAGAGCATTTCCAGTTGAGTAGTTGAGAAAGTCCAGGAAGCTCTGTGCCACAAAGACAGAAGCCATTATCGTAGGATGAACCCTAAGTGAGGAAGGGGTCTTCTTTAATTGGGTTATCTGGAGAGTGACTCTGGTGGGACTTTTCTCAACAAATCTCACCCAGTGTGAGCCAGTGGGGATGTTAGGAAAATAGTGGCTCTAGGATAGGGTAAAGATGTATAAGTTCAGGATGGGTTGGAAATCCATGTCTGGATACAGCCTGAAATACAATACTATGACCAGCATGGCGGTCTGAGTGATTCTGTTCCCAGGAGGACCAGGAGTTCCTTGGTGGTGGTGTGTATGTGTGTGGGGCAGGTATAAATGGGGGAGGAGGACTCAGAGGAACCATTTCTCAGGAGAAAGAATGAGGAATAAAGTACCTCAACCAAGTTGCCCTTTGAAGGTGAGTCCAACTAGCTTGGGGTCAATTTAGAGGTTGCTGTGGATGTTTTAGCCAAAAAGTTCATGGCGAAAGTCAGGCAACTCCAAGAATTAATAAAAACTCCTTTTTTTTCTTTTTGGTCAGGGTTTGACTGACAGCAGTGGTGAATTCTGACTTAGACTGAGTTTGAAATGTGCTTGTTTCCAATGCTGAGGCCCATTTGCACAACAAGCAAAAAAGACAAGGTAAACAACTTCTATTTAGACTTTCTGAGATGTGTTTCTCTGGATGACATTGCAAGAACTCTGTGACACTACCTCACCCCAGAGAGAACCCAAACACTGGGGATCCTTTCAACATCCAAAAAGGGTCACTTCTTTGAAATGTGACAACTCCCTAGAATGACTTTCTCATTTAAATTACATGGATATCAGAGGAGCCCAGGCCAGAAGGTGAAGCAGAGCAAACTCATACTCTTTGACTACAAAAGAAAATGCATATTTTTGATGAGCCTGCACTGGCTGCCTTCTTAGGCTTAGAATGATGTTTTGGTCCCCTTTTTGCCTACGAGGAATGTTGTAAGTAGGCATAAACAAATGCCTTCATTATTTATCCTAGTCGTGCTGCGCTAAATCATTCTATGTGGGAAATGTGCTGTTTTGTTTGGCTGGCAATTGGTTAAGCTAATAAGCTGTGAGAGTCTTCTTTGGAGTTAGCACTTGGAATTATTCTACTATAAGTGAACTCTCAATAGACTAAAAGTTACTATAAAAAACTAGAGCCAGAAGATTGGGTAAGAAACACTTCTATTGAACCTGACCTCTGGCACCTTGAAAACCAAATTTTATTGTGAATATAAGGACAATCACCTCTCCCCTGGGACTGTGGTCAAATGTGCCACACAGTCCTGAATGAATGTCTCTCTTGGAAATCAGACTAATGGAGACTCTTCTTTCCAAAAGTTCTTCAGAGTGATAATCCCGTATACAGAAGAAATAGTAAGTAATTACAGGTTTTCCAAATGAAAATCCTGTTTTTGTTGATTGTTAAATACTGTGTTTTGTGCCGTGCTGAGCAAAGTCATCGAATACTCTGTTTCCACATCCTTTCCATGAAACTCTCAGAGACTAGGCTAGAGATGCAGCTGGAGTAGACATCTAGTCATCCATCCCCAAGCCAGAAACTTTCCTGGTTCTCCTGCTTCTGTCAATGGCTTCACCATTGTCCTAATTACCCAGCCCTACAGACACCTATTCTAAAGATTCATCTTTTTATTGTTCCTCCCCAAAGTGTTCCTCCCCAACATCACCCTAGTAATGTAAGGAGGAGGCACTAACGAGCTAAAACAAAGCTATATTCAGAGACTGCAATATGGTGAACAGCCCTACACCTAGACCAGGAAGAAACCTGCAGAACAAAGGAAGATTTCTGCTGGGATTACTAACAAATCATTTACTCACACTAAGAAGGGAAAACAGAGTCTTTGAGTGGAGCCCTACACAAAATAAAATCGTTCATTCCCTATGGCTAAAACTATGGGGAACCCATAGATCAAAGGCTGGGAATTGTCAGCAGGGTTTTCATGCTACATATTCTTGCCTTTTCAGCTACACACTCATCCTTTCTCACTGTATGCTCATATCAAAGGAAAACAGGTAAACAAAGTCTTTATAATTCACAGAAACTAAAGAATGATATATAAACTGAATTCCCCAAACACTCAGGGTCCCTCTCAGTGTCTTTCTCTTAGTCCCTCTCAGCGTCTTTACTCTGTCTCTCTCACTGTTCCCATCTCTGTTATCTCTGTCCTCCTGAGTCTCTCTCAGTCTCTCTCACTCTCTGCCCCTGAGAGGAGACCATGCTCTGTCTGTCTGAATGTTACTTCTCTAAGAAACTTTTCTTTTGTCTCTGACTTTCGTGAGTGTTTGAATTCTTTCTCGCGCTCAGCCAAGAAGCCTTTTTTTTTCGGTTCAGGGCTTGAATCGCCCCTGGCCCCCCATCCTACTCAGGGAATTTGCCCTGTCCTGCATCACTGGTACAGGCCCACAGCCCCAAGTAACCATATATATCCCAATTCATCTTTCTGCCACCACAGTGCATGCAACACAATGCCTTCATATTTATTTACTTCTGTAGGCTGGGCACTATGATAAATGTTTTACATGGGTCCTTTTATTTAATACAAATAAACATGCTAAGAGATAGTACTCTTTTTCTGCCAGTTTTCAAGTGCTTTACTCATGGTCACATGGTGAGAGAGCTGGGATTCGAATCCAGATGTTGTAAACTGATTGTGTTTATGACCTAAATTCTTCACCCCTTCCTGTATCTTCTTTATCCTTTTCCATGTGACTTTGCAGTTCCCTTATCAAGAGGTAGAGCCCATTTCCCCACCCCTGAGGCTGACGTCAACAATAGGATTTGCTTTGGTGAATGGGATGACAGAAGATGTGATACAAGGAGAAACTTAAAGAAATGCTTGCACATTTTTGTTTGCACTCTTGTTCTCTGCCATGGCCATGATTAAAAATATCATGTCCAGGTCAGCCTGTTGAAAGGTGAAAGACCCATTTGAGGTAGGAGTTATCAGGACACATTTTAGTGTTCCTAGAGACACTAAAATGAAAAACAGCCTTGAACAATACCTTTGACATAGTGAAACAGTTTTGTAGTTTAAAACTTCCTGCTAAAGAGGAAAGTTAAAGGAGATAGGGAAAGTCCTCAACATAGGCATGCACAAGAAGGACAGCTGGTGTGACCTAGAATTTACCTTTGCTTCATTATATGATCATTATAATAAATTAACATTGCTGTTAAAGCTGTACCCATCATGCATCTGATGCCATGACAGTTCTGAAAAGCCCAAACATGGTAAGAAAAGGAGCATTTTCTTAATTCTGGCTGGAAAAAAAATCCACCTTTTTTTCTACGAAATGACCACCCAAAATTATGAATATTCTACCCCTTGGTTAAATTAATGGATAAAATCCCCAAACCCATGACCGATGGGGCAGTTCTCCCTTGAGCCTGCCCGCTCTCCCTTCTGAGGTAGTCTTTTGCTTGGCAGAAGTCTTTGGGGCTGACCACTTTTGGCAGCCTGTTCTCCCTTTTGAGAGTGAGCCTACTTTATCTTCAAGGCTGATCGCTCCTGGCAGCCTATTCTCCCTTCTAAAAGTGTACTTTCGCTTTTAATAAAGCTAGCTTGCATACAATTAATTTCTAGGCACCTGCCTTCAATTCTTTGTCAACTGGATGCCAAGAACCAAGGCCCAGGAGTTCCAGGACTCCCCAGAACCAGTAACACATTGAGTAGATCCAGGTCCCGGTCTTGGTCAGATTTTAGATCAGATTACAGCCAGCTAAGACAGCAAAGTTGCCTTGCTGCCTAGATTCCAAAATTCATTACGCAATAACTTTTGATCATCTTACTGTTAAAAACCAACCTACCAACCAGTTACTCAACCTACCCATTCTTTGTTAACTCCATGCTGCCTAAAAGATAAAGTATAGACTTCTGGATTCCAGTCCAGCATGTAAGGATCGTGGAAGTTACCACTTTGTCCAAACAACAATTTAAAAGCTGAAAAATCAATAACTCTTCTTAGATCCATCAGAGAAGAGAGATCTCAGGGCAAACCACTGCTTCCAAAGTTGGAGAGACAGATAGGCAGATACAGAGAATCACAATTTACCTGAGCAGAAACCAGTGCTGGAGTAAGAAAACTTGAACTGCAGTTGACAAATTGCTGCAAGCTTATACCTGGAGCTCTATCAGGTTTTCACAGAGAAGACTGGAGAAAAGTCAAAATTACCTTGTGCTTCTGGCAAGGAGAGGGGGAAAGTGGCCATATTGAGATACACCAGCACATTCTATCCTTCTTAATAAAGCTTCTTCTTAAGAGAAACTATATACCAGAGCCTAACTAACCTGTTGTGGTTTTGACAGAGCCTAACCAACCTGGGGGAAGGGAAATAACCAACTCCAGTCCTCTCCAGTTATCCTGTCCTACCTTGGATGGAGGCGGGGGGGCGGGAAAGAGCAAAATTTGTGAAGTCCATAGTTGAGTGGCACAGGCTAACTAAAGACTGAGACCTAATCATAGGACTATAGAATGCTTCCCCTTACCCCACACCTTACCACTGCATCACTGAAAGCCTACATACTACAGTTCCTCTTGCCCAGTACATCGTGTTTGGATTTCAACAAAAAATTATAAGGCATAGTAAAAGAAAAAACAAACAAATACAGATTGAAGAGACAGAGTAAGCAGTAGAATGAGACATAGATATCTCAGGGCTATTGGAATGATAAGACTGTGAATTTAAAAAAAACTGTGATTAATATGCTAAGGGCTCTCATGGAAAAAGTAGACAATATGCAGGAGCAGGTGGATAATGTAAGCAAAGATATGGAAATTTTAAGAATAAAAGGTGAGATGCGAGATTTCAAAAACACTATCAGAAATGAAGAATGTCTTTGATGGGCTCATTAATAAACTGGACATGGCTGAGGAAAGAATCTCTGACTTTGAGGATATGTAAATAGAAACTTTTAAAACTAAAGAGTAAAGAGGAAAAAGATGGAAAAAATGGGCTAGAATATTCAAGAAGTGTGGGAAAACTACAAAAAGTGTAATGAGGATACTGGAAGGAGAAGAAAAAGAGTAAGGAAGGAAGAGAAGAAATATTTCAAGCAACAATAACAGAGAATTTCCTCAGATTAATGTTGGACATCAAACCACAGATTAGGAAGCTCAGAGTATACTAAGGAGGATAAATGTAGAAGAAAAACTACACTTAGGCATAGTATAGTCAAACTGCAGAAAATTATAAAGAAAAAAATTTGAAAGACAGCAAAAGGGAAAATATTTTAAGAGAGCAGACAAAAAAGTACATCTGACTTTTCAAAAATAAAGCTAGCAAGAAGAAATTGAAATGCCGAGAGAGAAAAAAACAAAACAAAACAAAAACACCAATCTAGTGCTGTGCAATTATCATTCAAAAGGAAAGGAGGAATAAAGATTCTTCCAGACAAACATTGAAGGAATTTGTTGCCAGTAGACCTATCTTGCTGGAAATGTTAAAAGAAGTTCTTCGGAGAGAAAGAAATTCATATAGGTCAAAACCATAGATCTACATGAAGAAGGCAAGAGCATTAGAGGAGAAATAAGTGAAAGTAAATAAAAACTTTATTTTTCTTATTTTTAATCTAACTGATAACAGTTTGTTCAAAATAATAACAGCA